CTAGCCTGGGTACCTCTAGGCTCTGGTGTGGGAGGGGAATGTAAGGAGTGTCTCTCCTTTTCAATCAGGGGCCATGTCAGTGAGGGGTTTTGTTTTTGTTTTTTAGGGGTTTTTTGCATCTCACTTGTGTGCTGCCCCGACTAATTTTTCTGTGGGTCAAGTAGTCCCTTACCCAAAAAGGTTCCCTACTCCTGCCTTACACATTGAGGCTGATTCTTACTCCTAGCTGTACCATCTCTAACAAATAACGATGCTTTAAAATTCATAGACCACCACTAAAAACACATACTGGACAGATGGTTTCACCTATGTGCATGTCTTAGACACTGAGGAAACTTGTATTTTATACATTTACAACAACAAGCCTATAAATACAATGTAAATCTGTGTGTGCACCACACATTTACCTATAAGATATATGTGTGTATTTGTGTATGTCGTATATGTACACATAAACACATATAAAAGGCAAAAGTCGAATTTCTGCTCCAGCTCTTTTGCACCATTCAGACAAAGAAGAAGAGTGAGCAATGGCAGGGATGATGAGAGCAGGGTGAGCTGGACTGTGTCACGTCAATCCTCCACTTGTGTAAAAGCTAACAGAAACACTATGCCCGTAATCAAAGTTAGAGTAAACTGTACTAACTCATGTTGGCGGCAGGGTCAACCAATAGCAGAGCCATCCCTAAGGTACAGCCAGTCGGGGTGACCACCTCCAGCAGACTCTTTTCCAAAACCTTCCCCTTCCCAATGCCTCCTGCCTGCTGGTGGGCCCTGCCTCTCAGCACCTCTTACTTCCTCCCGAAGCCTATCACCTGCCACAGATCAGATGTTTCTTGGTGTCAGGAGGTGCTGGGTAGGAGAGGAGAGTGAGGTCACAACATGTTTGGGGAAGGAGCCGAAACTGCATGGGAAAGAGGCAAGGCCAGGCAGGAAGAGCTGTGGAAGAGACAGGATGCGGGTAAGAAGAAGTGTGATGGGGAAGGAGTGGGGGTGAGAAGAGGGAGGGTGAGAGCTAGGTGTTAGGGGACAGGATGGATAGGAGCAAGGCCTGGGAGGAGCACACCCTCAGCAGAAAAAAACTTGGTACCTATGTCCTGGGCCCCACATCCTCTCCAGGGGATGGCCTTGACCAATAGAATCAAAGGTCCAGAGCTTCAAAGGTATTTAAGCTCCTAACTTCAATTAATTTCAAGAAAAATGTGGACCCCAAATAACTTTGAGGATTTGAGCCACAGAACCTAACTGGCTCCCAGATGTCTGCTCTGCTTCCCACACCAGAGTATTGCTATAGGCACGTGCCTACACATTCATATTATATATACACAACAGATTAAAAAGCTTAATTAGACCTTATTTTCATAAAACTATAGCAGAAAATGCTTTACCTGCTTTTGACAAAGCTCTGACGAGCCTGCCATCTTATATGCACATGTTTTTCTTACTCTGCTTTAGCTTTCTCCCCTTGGTACCATCAAGTTGCAGCATTTAGCCTTCTGCACTGGCAGTAGGCATCAGTTGTCCTTTTGAAACCCATCCATTCTACTCTATTTTGCTGCAGGAAACAATGCTGGTGGCGCTCAAATCGGAGTCAACATGGCCATGCACAGTGCTGCTCACAGTGCCTATTACCAGATTGGATGTAAATACAGAAGCCAGAGTAGTGTTGAACAAATAAGTGTGCAGGGAATAATTTACTTCATTAATTTAACCTTTTTTGTCTCAGAAGAGTATGATTGCTTCTGACTTTTTTATTAGTCATAATTATTCCACCAACTAATTTGTTTCATCCTTCTGTGGATTGTAAACAACTAATCATGTTGATCAAGCCATGTTGGTTAACTTTACCTAGTCCAGGGCTGAGCACTCCTAAACATAATAGGTTACTGTAGGTTGCAGTATCAGTTGGAGTCTGATTTTAGATGTATTTGTCTCATTATGTTCACACAAGTGATTGCACATACACAACCACACTACCTAAGGGGAAGCCATATATCTACACAGTGTCTGATCAAAAGACCCGTGAAGTCAACATAGAGAGGCCATTGACTTCAGTGGGCTTTAAATCAGTTCTTTAACTCATGAGCTACCAAGTTTTTTTTAATATGGGCTCATGAAGAGGTGACATGACTAGCACCCAGCAGCAGAACCCATCTCCAGACTCCCAGCCCAGCGCTCTAGCTACTACGTCACACTGCTTTTCATCCTTATCCTGCAGAGTATTTCTGGGGACAACCATGGTAGGGAAACTATAGCTATGGCAGCTATGCTATCTACAGACTAGTGGGAGCCAGTGAGACCAGGCAACAGTCCAAGGTTACATCTTGTGTCTTTGAACTGTAGAACAGCCAGTTTCTTTCTACCCAGGAAATAATCCCCTCCTCCTCCACCTTCCAGCAAGAATTCCTAGGAATAACAACAGGTTGACAAGTGAATTCTTTCTCCCCAAGCAAGATAATGGGGCTATTGGGACCCAAACCTGTGCATGCAAATCCCTGGGGTACATATGCAGAGGCCTCATTGTGGGATTAGGGCCTCAGTTTGTAAAATGTTTAGGAATCCTAGGTATTATAGAACAGAATAGCATTAGTAGAACAGTGCTGGATATATGTGTACATCTCTCTCTCACACAATCACAGGTCCGTTGATGCATACCCAAGGGGGGAAGGACAGAACCAGGTGGACCGTTTTAGCAAATAAAAGATATTTATTTATAACAGTGATGAATTTATAGTATTTATTCTAAGATTTTTAATAGACTGTGTTAATAATGAATTTACAGTATTTATTATATTTATTCTACGATTTCTAGTTAAATGTGTCAGAAATATAAGGATGGGAATGGCAAGGGGAATAGTCTCTATTCTAAAGATATCCAGCTACACTAATTAAATAACAGTGATAACTACAAACTCTATGTACTACCAAAACCAACTACAACACTAAGCGTATACAACAAAGAGGTTTAATCTAATTATATTTATTATATTATTAATTGCATTAGGGTGCCTAGAGCCTTAGATAAGCATCTTTGTTATTTTAAAATCTAACATAGAGATAAATCCAGACTAGACTATCTTAATGTGTTCTGCTTAAGGCTATCTATCCACGGATCACCAAAAGCTTCGGCTGGGGTGGAATGCAGCTGCCTGCCTGTTATATCAGAGGAGCTGTTATAAGCAGATAAGCACTTCATAACCCACTTGGGATACTTGATCACCTCTGTATGTAATTTACAATGCTGGTTATGATCTATAAAATAAACTCTTGAATTATTTGGAATCTGTCTACTTGTCAGATAGCATCTCCCAATATGTCAGTTAAAACTGACTAGGAAACTCCTGGTTTATTCCTAGGGTAGAACTTCACAGGGCATTCTCAGTTAAGGGTCCCACCTCAACTCGGCTTTTTCAGTTCATTCCAGAGATCCCAACTTTACAGGATAAGGTGTAGTTGTTTAATCATATTGTAATCACAAACATCAAATTAGTTTGGTCTTTTTTAAACAACAGAAAGTAAAGTCAGGCTCTCTCATATATATATATATATAAACTTTTTCTGCAGGACAACAGAGCCCCTCCCTTCTCCCACAACCTTTCCCTCAGCCTTGCGGCCACCCCTGTGCTCCAGGGAGATGTGAGCCATGCAGCCTCCCCTCTTGCTCCTCCCCCACGCTGGGGTGGGTGGGGGGAAGAGAAGAGCCGCATGGCTTCTGGCCGGACCTAGCACAGTACCCGCTCAGCTGCAGGATGGGGGTGGGGGGGAAGAGACAGGCCTGCTACAGCGAGGCTTCACCCAAACCCCCCAGCAGCCGGGAGGAGAGAGTTGGGCCTGGCAAGGAGAGGCGAGAGAGCTGAGGCTCCCAGGGGAATGGGGGGAAAGGGGTAGAGCCAGGAGTGGCCTGGTCTCACTCCCCTCCCACTTCCACACCCCAGCAACTGGCCCTGGCCTTAGCTGGTGAGGCCTCAGCTCTGCCCAGCCTCTCCGCGCCCTACCCCGCCCCCCTGACAGCAGAGGGGAGAGAGCCAGGGCTGCAAAGGCTGCGGGGAAATGTGGCAGAGCCGGGGCTGCCATGTGATACGGCTTTGCCCCAGCCTCTCCTGGGAGCCAGGGACAGTAAGGAAGGGCCAGACCCGTCCTGGGCCCTCCTTGGTGTCTAGGGGAAAAGCCAGGTGCAACCTTGCTCGATTCCCCTCCCCAGCTACCAGGGCCGGCTGGGGGTGGGGTGGGACAAGAGCTGGGGCTGCCTCGGCCTCTCGAGTGGGGGAGAGCTGGGGCAGGGGCAGCCTTGGACCCTCCATGGAGGCCGACGGGGAAAGGGAGCCGGGCCCACCTAAGGCCCTCCCTGGCCGTCAGGGTTAAAGGAGGGGAGAGCTGGAGCTGGTGGAGAGCCGGGGCCAGAATGGCCTCGGACATTCCCCAGTGGCTGGAGGGGAGGGACGAGCCAGGGCTGGAGCAACCTCAGCCCCAGGCCCTCCCCAACTGAGAGGAGGGCTGGTGAACATAGCGCGCAGGGGGCACAGCCTCTAGTCTATATGTATTAAAATGTTTTATACAATGCCAACATTTCCTAATGTTAGTGGTTTTAAAGCTCTCACCTATTGAACTTTTGAGAGCTAGACTATAGTAAAGTGGCCCAACAGACCAAAGGGAACAGAGCAAGTCCAATTAGGGTTGCCAGGTGTCAGGTTTTGAACCAGACAGTCCAGTATTTGAGCTTTCTGTTCGGGAAACTAATTGAGAAAATAGAAATGAGACAATATAAATATCTAGTATTTTCTAAATAAGATGTAATGTAGATTGTGATGTAATGTCAAGTGTGTCCGGTATTTTTGTTGAAACCATCTGGCAAACCTAAGTCCAACTGCAGCATTTAAAACACACCAGTAAACTACATGTCAAAGATGTTTAAGAAAAAGATGTGTTACAATAAAAAAAAAAGCAAAAAGGGAAAAAAAACCACAGAACCCTAGCCCTCAAAGGAACTACTCATTCAAGAGAAAATCTCTAATAATTTATTGACCTTAAGTTTCACATTGTGAAAAAAAAATCCAGTTTTACAAAACCTTAACATATAGTAGCAAACAGTGACAGAACACAGACATTTTTCCTTCTTCACTTGTAATTTTCTTTTAGTATGTGAACCACATCTTCAATAGCCAGGGAAGAGGCATTATTCAGCTCTAATCACTCTTATTAGACAGGTGTCAGGCCTAGAGAAAAGGGTCTACACAATTATACCAGAAGTGGAAGGTTGTCCTTTGTTGTAAGTTTCTACAGCAACCAGCTCACAAAATAAGAGGAACCTTCCCGTCCTATGCCAAGGTTTTTGTGTGCACTCTGCTGTGAATTGCATTTGCTTCAAAGTGTGGGATGTTTTGCACGACTAGAATGGTCAAGTAGTAAGGCAGAATTCCCACATCAATTCAAAGAGCAGAAGCTCAGAATATTCCCTGCAGCGCCTGAGGCCCACCCGGACTTCTTTTCCTTCAGCCTACACACAGGAATTAATCAAGCACTACACATCTTTGAAAACAGCTGCAGAAAATTCATCCTTTCAAAAGTGACATGGTATTATAAAACAGATTTTTGTCATAAGCAATGTATGGGGCAGCTTTAAGGTCGAATTACATCCCTCCATTTAACAGGTTTGAGCAGATATACCTTTAGTTACTAAATGAGCAGTTCCGTTGGACCCAGCACTTCACTTCTGTTGTAACTTGTATAGCCAGTGCCACCTATGCAACGATTTGTATTCGGGAGCATTTTATACCCATACTGCTCAAGTGTGAATGACTGACTACCCAACATACCAAGAAGTGGCGAATCCAGCCCATTTTCTTTATTGGGGCAACTCAGAAGTATGGGCTTATGAGAGGATGCTCTTCCTAAGCAGCATGTCATTTGTTGAAAGTCACATGGAAATTTAAAAATAAATTCCCCTTTTCTGTGTTATTTTTTAACTGCTCAACCCAACTTAGTGGCACTATAATAGTAACTTGTGCTGTGGAGTCCTGTTCTTGTCAAACCATGGGTCGCCCTTTAAAAATTCTTCCTTTGTGAGAAAAATTGAAGGGTGAGCACTGTTAATGTTTCATGGTAATGGTAAGCTTTAAAAAGTACAGTGATTGCACCGTAAGAGAAAGAAATGCAAACACCTTTTATAACTTTCATTTTTGCATACATGCAACTAAGAATCTTTTTACGTATACTTTGCAACGGAATACTATAACTATGTTGTTGAGCACATCATTATTAAGCTGGGCTCAAAAGACTTATGAAAAATACAACACATGCTTCACAATGAAATCTGGCAAGAAAAGCATCTGTGAAACAGAAATTTTAAAAAATGATGTGTATATGCATACCTGACTCCAGAACAGGCTGAGCAAATGAAATTGTTTAATCCTTTGGTTTATTTGACATTTCTCTATACCAAATGTTTGAAGACTCACCAAGCTGTGTGAAAGTAAAAGATGCACCAAAACTTGATTATTTTTAGATTCTAGTTTTTCAATTTTTTTATGCTTCATCATTGCAGCAACTGTGCTATGCCTGGGTCTTTGACACTATAGTACCCCTTCATCCATGCAGAGAGAAGAGCCAAAACTGTCAATGCAAGACACAGGGGTTTTCGTGTTTTGTTTTTTACATAATTCAGAACTAATCTGTTTTAATTTTGTGAGTTAGCCGCATTACACTCAATCAGGTAAATGTGGTTATGGTAAATGTCTCATTGTTTAAACCCACACACAAATAAATAAATAAATAATTTTTTGGCCAATGCCTTTCTCAGGGCCCTGTGTACAGAAACTAGGCATCTTCTAGGTCAGGGGTGAGGAACCTTTTTTGAGTTGGGGCCACTGACCCCCAGAAAAATCAGTCAAGGTGCCGCACACACGCAGAAAACCCCTAACTGATGTGACCCCCAACTGCAGAGACACATTCCCAACATTTCTCGCACACCAGAGCGTAGGGGGGCCCAGGCTAGTAGATTTTGTGAGCTCCAGTCCCACTGTCGGGAGGATTGGAGCGCAAGTGCGGGCTCTTCAATACTGGTGGAGAGGGATGAACCTCAGGGGGCAGGTCCAGGCAAGCTGGGGGCCACATCCCTTCCCCTCTCCTGTTCTAGCTAATGGAGAGTCTGCATAAAGAGAAAACTGTAAATGGTTTTGGCCAGCTCCAAATTCAAAGGCATGAGCAGGCCAATGAAATGTAACAAGGACACTATCTACTGGATACACCACATCTAACCTGAAGAGCTAGTGGCCTGAGAAAGTGACCTCCATGGCTTTTTCCTTTAGCACGTATGTAATTTAAGACGCTGCCTTGCAGTCCTTCCATTTCCGACTGAGGAAGCCATCCATTCATTCCCTCCCACCTCAAACTATTATTCACTCAACAGTTTTTCTTTCTTTTTTTTTTTTGTGCAGCAGAGCTAAACAGACCACAAAATGTGCAAAACATACAATAATACACACAAGTCCTTACAACATGAAGACAACTGAAGGTGTTGTTTCAGCATGCAAGCACTGAACAATAAATAGCTATATCTACAAGTAACATAAGAGGAATAGGACAGTTTAAGTCACTTATAAATACAGGGACAAAGGGAAATTGAACATTTAGGGGAAATGAGTTCTTTTTAATTCCCCACTATTGCAAAAACTTTAGGACAACACAACATGGTTATCTAATGGATTCTTCACACACTGCCTATAAACAAGTTCATTCCTGTAGCAAGTATTCTGCAGTGACACAGCTGTATCTTCATTCACAGCAACATCTCACTGTTTCAGACCCCGCCTGCTTCTCTGGCAGCTGGTGCTGACACTTCAAACCATCACAGTGAGCAATGACAACCATTTCAAATTTCATGCACTCACAGTGGAGTCCATGAAAATCGAGAGTTGTAGGTTGCACAATTAAGGAAAGTTCTGTACATTGTTTTCCTTTTCCTCACCCTCTCCCTTTGAAGATCTGATTAACTCTGACATTAATCCATAACTACTTGAACAAGGAATCAGATCATAGGTTCATTCTCATATTGAAACCACGTGCTGATGCACCAAACAGAGGTTTGGTTTTTTTCTTCCCATTCCTTCATATTCAGGTTAGATAATTTACAAGGTGCAAATATTTTTCTTCAAATTCAAAAGACTCTGAATGACTTTTCTTCATTAAAACCATTTCTCTATAGCTGAAATTCCAAGTTTCTTCTCAAAATAATGGTGTAAACTGGAAGAAGAAGAAACGGGGGGGGAGAGAGAGAAAAGGTTTAGAGGATTCTTGTGAGACAACAGACAATAAGGTTTTCATTAGACCCAAAACATGTCTCAATGCAATAACTAATCCATCACATTTACAGTCACATTCTACCTCCTTTACTTGGTGGGCCCTTACTCTGCAAGGAGCTCCTGAGACTCCAATAGTGACTAAACACTAGGGACGTTAACGTCTACTCAACTATAAGATTATTCTTGTCAACTGCACGCATTTCTCCCCCCCCCCTTGCTGCCTCTTAAAAGCTGGTTCCCCCCAGCACCGGCTCTGTGGTGCTGCCTGCCCCCCTTCCCGCTACTGCCTCTATTTGAGGCAGGAGCACGGAGGGGGATAGGAGAGGCTGCCCTGAAGTGGCCCCTGTCTGCAAGGGGTCCAAGAGTCCCACAGATGCAGCTAGTCTTGTGCAGGGAATTGTTTTTTAAAATGACTCCCCTCGTGGATTGACTCCATCTGCCACCCTGCTGCCAGTGCCATCTCTGGGACTAATCGAATAGTCATGTAACTGCTAAGATTTCATGCAGTTACACAACTCTTCAATTACCCAATATCTAACATCCTTACTAAACACAGAGACTCCACCGTGATTCTAGCCCTTACAAATGAAAGGTTAAATAGCATTTGGTCAATACTTCTATTTTTGCTGGATTTTGCAACATACTGTTTTTCCCGTTCTCAAAAAATGTCAGGGGGATGTGCTTAAAGAAAACAACCTTGTGCAACTTCTCTCTTCCAGAAAAGCCTAAAAAATTATTAGGGTAATCGATTTATTCTACTTACGGACCAAGTCAAACTAGATCAGAGTGATACTGAAAAAAAGAGCAGGGAGGGTAGAGTGGAGAAAGGGAAGGCTCACACCTATGTCCTCTGTTCACCATGGAGAACTCTAAATGAGATTTATTCACCGTAGAGAAAAAGGACATATTAATCCCCTTATTTAAACCTTCTCTTCCATTCATTATAGCAGAAATTTGTCTTGCTTCTTTTCACAACAATGCACCATGCCTCAACTCCTCCACACTGGAGTCTTTTCCACAAGTTGATTATTCAGTGAAAAATAAAACTCCTGGATGGCTTTTATATTTTATTATGAAATCTATGTTAAGAGCAAGTTTCCAAACCTCACTTTCCAAACCAGGCATCAGTCTCATTATTATAGTAGATTTAGATAGCACAGCTAGAATTTAGGAGACAGCTTCTGCAGTCATTTACAAAGGTGCACACATGCAAACCAACTCTACTGAACTGAATGCAGTTAATCTGAAAACATATGCAGGAGAGCAGAATGTAGCCCTGTAGTGCTGCAATGCCTAAGACGACAAGATTATACCACTACCTTAGCCTGAAATTGGATTTAAGACAGACTCTTTTCATTATTTCCAATGTAATTTTTTGCAGTTTCTTATTGCTGATTAGGCTTGCCTAGACATTTTTCAGACTAGTGTGTTGTTTTTTCCCTTCGTGAAAAATTTATCTCAACACTGAAGCCAAAATAATGTTTCCTGTCACGGGATGATTAACAAAGAGTAGACCATTTTGCAAAGGGAAAATAAAACTAAATCTACTCAGAAGAGCAAAGTTTGAAGTAAGAAACAAAGCAGACTAACATCTTCCTAATCTGTGGCAAGCTGAGGCCACACAACACCATGAAAACAGAGGGTAATCAGAAGTAATTTCCTTTTTGTCCATCCCACCCACTGACAGAACAGCGGGAGTCAGGGAAGAAGAAGAAGAAGAAAAAAAACACACACACACAAAACCACAACTAGCTGGATGAGCATGCTTTCAGTTTACAGCTGCATTCATCTAGTTATCTTATAGGTTAGTGAAGATAAAATAATGGCCTTTAACAGGATATTGCAAGGCAAAAGAAAACCTTTAGTGCCATTATACCTGGACTACTATTTTTCAAGAAAAAAAACATCTCAATTTTATGTGCTGTAAATTTTAGAACAATGAAGTCAATCTTAGAAGAATAAAAGTCAATATTTTTCTTGGCACAGATTCTGAATCTAGGCATTCATTACTTGATAACACTGAGTACTGCTGAAATGAGTAATAATAGAAACTGGCTAAATGGTATGGATTTAAAGATATATTCCTAGCTTTCCGGCAAGCAAGGAAGGAGTCTGAAAGAAACATAGCCTTCTATTTGCTCAGTTTTTAAGTTATCGGAAATGTGTGATAATTCACCGACACCCAGGATATGATCAGCCACTAGTGTATGCAAAAAGTTGGATTCAATTCAAGGTTTTGTTTTTCAAAGACTAAATTGTGCAGGGAGATGGAAAAAAGTTACAGGTGGTATTCAACTTAAAGAACGAAAGTGTCACTGAAAACATGACCTCGCTACATTTCCTACTGCATTTCAGCACTGCTATTCTGCAGTGGTCCAAAAATGCACTCCTTACTTAGCCAAAATTCCCATTCAGCTCAAAGGGAAAACTGAAACATGAGGCCTCAGCATACCACTGGGTGAAAAATTTCCAGACTCTCCAAATGATCAGTTTTACCCTGTAACAAGAACAATGGGGTATCCCGCTATTTAGTGTGGAAGCCAACTAGCAATCTCCTTGTAGTCCAGTTGCCAGTAAAATCCTGTCAAAACAACCCTTCTGAAGAGGAAGATGCTATGTAAGTCTACAAAAGCAGATTGGTATTACAGTAAACTTCTGATAACCCGACATCTTTAGGACCCAGGGGGTGCCGGCATACAGGAAGGGGGGCTATAAAAGGTCTGGGGTGGTGAGTGGGGTCGGCGGGGAACTACGCAGTGGCACTGCAGGACCAACCCAACAGCACCCCAGCTGCTCTGTCCCCGGCTTCCCCAAGTCAGCCGCTGCTGAAACTGACCAGCAGTGGACTTGGGGAAGCCGGGGGCAGAGCAGCTGGAGTGCTACCCGGTTGGTCCCGCAGCGCAGCTCAGGTGAGGGGCGGCACTGGGGGGCCAACCAGTCAGCCACTGGTCAGTTACAGCAGCGGAGGACTTGGGGAAGCTGGGGGCAGAGCAGCTCAATTGTCCGGCTGGCAAGAGCATTTCCGGGTTCCAATTGGTGCCGGACTATGGGGTGTGCCAGACCACTGGATGCCGGACAATTGGAGATTTACTGTATTATTGTTCTGAGGCACCTACTTTGATCTGGAGTTTCTAGATGACTCCAGAAGTTAATACAGAGCTGATTACGCTATTTTAAACTGTTTTTCCTTTAATAGTTTTTTCAGTCTGGCTGGTTTTATAGTTGCAGTATTCAAATCCCTTAAAAATTATTACTCACAGAGCATGGCTCATTTAGGTAACATAGTTGTTTCTGAGGGTTAAATATGCCATCAGAATGTATCTGTAGTCATGACTGCATTGCAGTCTCTCAGAAAAAAAAAACTACAAACTATTGTGTTAATGCAACACAAACAATTGTGTTAATGCAAAATAACACAAGTACCCTAGAAAATATCAGAGGCTTAAGTGATACAATTCATGAAAAGATGGGGGTGATAATAATGAAAATCAATTTTAATGTGATGCAAGTTAACTGTTTTGTGGTGTTGATACAAACTGACATGAAAACTTCTAGGTGCTCAGATATTTTAGTGGTTTTCCAAATGAAGAAGAAAAAAAACACACCAGACAATCCATCTATAGCAGAGCCACATAACCAGCTAAACAAGCAAAGCTGAATTTAGAGTAGCCAGTAAGAGGATACAAGACAGAAGCTACATGTGGTATGAGTTTTCCCCATTTTGCTTTGTTAATGATTTAACAAATTCTCCCCCTCCTCCCCCAATCAGTGTCATACCTAGTAGAAGTAACATATTCATCATCTAAACTGTGAAGCCAAGTGATCAATCTAGTGATGAGATCATGGTACTGGGAACCAAGCAATCTGGATTCCATTCCTGGCTCTGTGAGATAATTTGATGCATGACCTTGGAGAAGTCACTTAACAGCTGTGTGCCTCAGTTTTCCTTACTGCTAAATGCAAATAATTTACTTACCCTCCTTTGAGCTCCACGGATGAAAAGCACTATGAGCACTAAGTTCTATTATATTTGTATTATAGGTATAGTTTCTTACCTGACTAGCTGCAACAGCAACACATACAGTTATGAGGGGAGGTGTTTCCATGTGCTGACAAATGCTGTGGGAATAAGCGAATAGGGCACTGTGGTTATGCTGTTCCATACATCTAATGTGGGATCATAGCAGTCCAATGTTTTGCATCTTTGAATTCCAAAATAACCTCCAACTACATACAGTTTGTTTCCAGATGCTACTGCATGGCAGCTCATTCGTTTAGCTGTCACATCTCCCACCTTAGTCCACTGGTATGTTTCACTGTTGAATTTATACGCTGAGCATGCGGAGAATTCAGTATCTCCACCCATAATAAAAATCTGGTTACCCAAAACAGCTGCAGCTGTGTAGCGCCAGGGCTGGGGACAGGTGGCTGGTACTGTCCATCTGTTTTCACATTGATCATAACATTGAACTTTGGGCAGCTTGTCATGGCTAACACTGGTGCCACCAAATGCAAATAGCTTAAGCTTTGCACTAACTACAGCCGCGTTGCTTACTCCTTCTCGAAGTGGGGCAACCATTGTCCATTTGTTGGTCACAGGGTCATACTGTTCTACTTGCTTTAAGGATACAGAAGGGGAAGCTGGAAGGCAACCAGTTGCTGCGGTGTGCCCTCCTACTACATACAAACAGTGTTTGAGTTCAGCAGAACCATGCCCAAACCTAGCCACCAACATGGGAGCAGCCTTTGACCACTCCTCATGAAGAGTGTCATACACCCAAACATCTTTGGAGACTCCATTTTCTGATCCCCGGCCCCCAGTGATATACACCTTGCAGCCGATAGCACAAGCACTGAACTCTTTCCGTGGACTTGGGATGTCAGCCTTTGGAATGATCTCCTTTGCTTTTTGGTCCACCAGATACAGCTTGTCACACATAAAGGTTTGGCCCCCAAGAAGAAACAGTGCATGGCCAGTTTTGCGAGGCCTGGCACACAAACTTGTTACTACACCATCATTCTGTAAGATCTTTAACTTGCATCTTATTGCTTCTTCTACTATATCTTTACTCTTCCTTTGCTTAGCGATAAGTTCTTCCATTGCAACATTCTCCATAAGGTAAATGGCTGGTAGGAGAGCCAGTCTCACAGTTTGCAATAGTTCAGAGAGATGACAGTGGCGCTTATTCAGATCATAGTTAACCCAGTTAATAGCTGACTCATATACTAATCTTTCATCTTCTGTTTCTAGTTCTTCACTGGAAAGGAGCTGCACAACCATGTCTTTTGGCAACTGGAGAAAATCTTCACTTTTACTGATGGTTTGGAAGTTGCTAAGACACATCCTCCAAGAGAGTTCATAAAGCTTGGTGCACTGGTGAGCATCTGACAGCAGAAGCATGCCAAGACAGTTGGTGGGATGAAGGTTCTTCTCCAGAAACTCTGCGCAAGCATCTCTGATATCCTGGAATTCTAACATGTCTCCAGCCTCTAGCAGGGACTCTGCATTCTCCTCATTGATGATAACCCTGGAGGAGTACGCATAGTCCAGCAGAAGTTCTAAGACTTCTGGATGAATAGAATTATGGAAGTTGACTTCACTGGCCTGGCTCTCCTTAAGTCCTCCACTGAACATTGCTTCAAAATAGCGACTACATGCAGCTAGAACAGCTCTGTGGCAAGGGAATGATCTGTTCCCAGCATGGAGAAGCACATCTGTAAAGAGCCGTTGTTGGCGTAGAAGGTTCAGGTGAGTAAGAACACTATCAGCATATGACGATTTGTGGAATAAATATATGTTTATAGAGCCAGTGCTGGCTCTAGATTTGCGGTTCTCATGCATGCTGACTGACATTTTTTGCCACACCTAAAAATAAACAAAAATTAGGTAAGAGTAAGGATTTGCATGACAAATGTTTAAGATATACTTCTTTTAATAAACATTTTTTAGGTATCCCTGATAATCATGGTTAAGGAGGAAGAAAGGTTTGAGCCTATTATAGACATCATAGGACAAATAATTATATACTTCCGTATAGGTTTATTTTTTTGCCTTGATGAGTTTCTTAAAAGAGATGCCCCATCTACTATTGCCCAAGAGCAGGTTTATCTTGGGAAACCTGATCTCCTACTTTCAGGACAAGGAAGACAGAGGACAAATAAAAACCTAGAGCTGATTTTCTCACCCTTCCCCAGTGTAGCACAGCTGTGTCCTAGGAGAATTGACTAACCACTCTGATGCTGGCAGTCAAATGACTTCCATAGTTAGTTTTTTGTTTGGTTGGTGTTTAAAAAAAAAAAAAAAAATAATAATAATCATAAAGAATGTACTAATCCATTTTGATGTTTTTCTTAAATATCCATATCCAATATCAGGGAATGGGAAAGGTAAGACAGAGAAAAGTAGCATTGCAAGGATATTGTTACGTGACGAGAGTTGTATTACAATATCTTGGCTAAATATTACAGAAATCTACATCTTGTATCTGTCCAGTGGTAGCCTGCTAGTGGGTGACATTAGATGTGCTTACATTCTTCATAGGGTAGTACTATCTGCTGAAATTAATACCGAATTGCTATTCCACAATCCCCGTGTTAGGTTCTTAGAGCACAAGCGGTCAGCAGTTGTTTTGGGGGTAGGGGAAATCAATATTCTACATTGTTACGCCTGTCTTTTCAAAAGCAACACTATTTTGCTCCCATTTTAATGCCTAGTTATTTTATTAATGACCAGCTAAAGATTCAATTGCCCTCCATGATCTCTGTGATATGGGGACATGTCAGGGCCTGGGCTTTGGATTTGCATCTACAGAGATGCATTGAACAATACACTTCTAAATAGTTGGTGGTGATTACATAGTTGGTGGCCATCATGTCACACTTTCAGGGGTGCTCTATAACCTGGGTAGAGGGTGGGGGAGAAGAGAGGTTTGGTGAAGTTCAGCTTCTCTGATTGAGGGGAATTTCATGGCATTTATATTCCTGAACATGTATTAATTAACAGCTTAGTAACAGATCATTCTGTTTCCATAAGGTTTATGTTTTTTAGAGAAACACTTTGCTGGATGGCCTCAAACTAACACTCTGATAAAGAGACTGCATAAGAATTTGAACAGCCTCAGAAGTTTGTATTGGGGATGTGAATGGTTAATCAACTGGTGAACTGGTGGAGGCTGGAGTATGGGGGGCTGCTCTAGCTCTGCAGGCCCCACGGCAAGTCTGGGGGTGTTCCAGCCGTAGCCTCCATCCGCAGTGCTCCATGAGCAGGAGCACTCCAGCCTGGCTGAAGCAGTCCCCACCCACAGTATAGGGAGGGCCACTCTAGCCCATCCCCATTTAATCAGTTAACTGGTTAAGCAAAACATTTGACTGGTTAACTAATTAAATGGGATTTTACATCCCTAATTTCTATGGCATTCTAAAAATTAAATTAAATTTGGCCTTTCACTCATGTTCATGCTTAAATATGCACCAAAATGCTGCAACTACTCTTTCTTTAAGCTGGAACTTAATTTCCTGATGATTGTCATCAAGACTTTAAAAAAGGAACAACATGGGAAGTACATAGTGTTTGTCTTTATTGAAACTGACCCAAAGTCCATTAAAATCTATGGGCATCTTTTCAGTTATTTCAGAAAGGTTTAGATCAAGCCCTTTTCATGGTGACAGAAAAATATGAACTACACAATACACTTTGGATCAATGTTTTAGGTTAACTACAGTAACTATAACCACTGCACAGTAGAAATAGCCAAGTATGCTATTAAAATACATGTAACCAGTTTCACGTGTAAGTGTAATTAGTTACCCATTAAATATAATCATAGTACTTGACAAAAATCAACATTCAGAGGGCATTCAAGAGTCACAAACACTAATCTAGGACTAAATAAACCCAATTACCCCATTGCCAAAGGTTATACTGACTATGCGCCTCAATTTCAGATTTGCTGAAGCTATAGAATTACAGAGAGGATCCTGGCTCTGGATGTTGGTGCATCCATAGTGTAGACTAGAGGCAAAAGGAGGAAGATCAGCCCTCATTTGGAAAACACTGTGGAGCCAGATTTTAAAAACTTCACAACGATTTTGTAATTTCATAAGTTATGATTCAATATACAACATTTTGTATGTCTTTCTGGACTGGTCTGCCTCACATTTAGGGCCCAATTCCACAAGAGGCTGAATAACTCCTGTGGAGCATGGAACAACCTCAGCTCCCACTCTCTGAAGACAACAGGAGATGCAGGCACTCAACATCTCTAGGCAGCACTTAGCATTTCATAAGATTAGACCATGTATCCCTTCCTGATCTGCTGCTAAGCATTTGGACAGCACTCAGTACTAAATACATATAATACAAAAAAAAATCATAGAGGCATTGATAAAGGAAAGTTCAGACATTACATATACAGGTGTGTTCTGATCCCACAGGAGTGCTGTGATTTCTCATGAGATATGGCTGCACAGAACCTTGCAGGATCAGGCTCTGAACTAGGAACTAGCATTATCCCTATATTTTAGAGTAGTGAACTCCACGCCATATGCAGAGAAGTGTCAAAGAGGTAGGAAAGTGCAGATCACTGCATGTTGCCCAAGCCCACTCACACCCCTAGCAAGAAATACAGATTGTAGCTGGGAAAAAAAAATAGATGAAAACCCCTTTGAGACTATCATGTGATAGGAAGTACAGGGATTCACCTCATTTCTATTTTGGACATGGCAATATCCTAAGACAAGATCTGATCTTTCTATAACCAAAGTTCTTTTTATTAAATTACTTGCACTATTCATGAATTTCTCTTTAGCAAAATGTAACAAAAGCATTACCTGTGTCACAATAAAGTTGCCTCTTTAGAAGAAAGAAGTTAAACATATTTCCTCAAACAGAACAAAAGATACATATTTGTACATCTTTGCCCTCAAGTCCCACCAAAGGTTTTCAAGTTGTTCTACCAGTCAATATAGAGGCAAAATACTATTTAAAAGACTCCTTATAATTTACTAGCAAAGTAGTGTTTTTCTGAACAAGTCTGATTTGCAATTTTTGACAATGCAATTTGTTCTGAAATGTTACATATATTTCAAAGCAATACAAATATACAGACATCTCTGACTTCTCTATTTGTTGCAAATTATGCAAGCTCAAATATTTCAGCAAAGGTAATTCACATAGTCACTGACCAAGTGTTCATCTTGAATAAAATGAGTCAACCCCCTTCAGGCAATTTTTCCTTAGAAACAGTAACATTTGAATGTAAAGGACAAATGGTCAGTACCATAGAAATATGTATTTATCATGAATTGTTAAATAAATATTGAACTAAGAGACTGAATCAACATACTTTTCAACCAGCTACTTGTCACAGCAACCTCAAATCTGGTAGTACCCAGTGTTCAGAATCTAAAGCTGTTAAGAGGTAGCACAAGAGGTTGTAGAAGGTCTCGGCTCACTCAAATAAAAAAAAGGTGATTTGTTATTTGAACATTTATGATGTACAAAATACAACTTCCTCTTAAAACACTATAATCTCATCTGTTCTCCAAAGTGATACTGGGGGAAAAAGTCACTGTTGCTCAACTACCCATTGTTTGAACTGATCCCTTCTTCAAATTCCTAAGTCTGCAGTGATGCTGTGAACATTTACAGTCAACCCCTTTCTAACACTGGCTATGTCTAGACTGCAAGCCTCTTTCCAAAAAGCCTCTTTCAAAAAAGAGCATCTAGACTACAACCAGTACTTTTGAAAAAGCAAACTGCTTTTTCGAAAGAAAGCACCCAGGCAGTCTGGATGCTCTCTTTCGAAAAAGCACAGTTTGCATTACATAGTGCTTTTTTTCGATGGAGCACTTTCAAAAAAAGGCATTATTCCTCGTAAAATGAGGTTTTCCGCAGTTGACAAAACCACCTCGTTCTTTCTATTTACTGTCAACAGAATACGGCGGCAGTCTAGATGTAGGTAAAGATTTTTCAAAAAAAAATCCCTGTAGTCTAGACAGATCTTCTATGTAACCCCATGGACTTACACAGAAGTAATATGAAGCGTAAATTGGGGCATCACTTATTATGCATTTTTTTGGTACAGTCCCTGGGGTTTTGGGGTGTGTTTTTTTGGCAAATGCAGGTCATTTCTGAATGACTGTGTGACAGTACATACCTATATACCCACGTGTCTATATGCTGCCCTTCAATATAGTATCTGAACACCTCTGGTACTTCAAAATAGTATCTGTTTCTTCCCAACCTGCAGAAGAAATATCATAATCAGTTTCTAGCAATGTCTACTTTATCTTTGTGTACATGAACATTGTATTGGTTGTGGATGAAAAACTTCCTCAAAGAAAAAAGGAATGGGTTCTGCATTTGATTCTGAAAGTGAAGTCCATGGTCATTCTAATTCTGGTTACTCAGACTTATTAAAAAGTCAACTGACATTTCTTATGTGTATTTGCCAAATTAGTCATTTGAGAAACTTGAAAAGGAAACGACAAGAAGTCAATATTTAAGGTCAGTATCTAGCATTAAGGGAAGCAACTGTTTCTATTTGCCAAAGACAGTCACATACCAGAAATACCTAACGGTTAGTGCAAATAATTATCCACCAGTGTTGTAATGGGCACATGGTGCACAAACAGCAGGACCTGCTTTCAGGACTGAACAGGGGATGCTTACTAGTATAGAGAATATCGTGTGGCTGGTGTGAGGTTACCATCAAGCCCACACAGTCGTTCAATATTCCATTGGAGCTCACTACCAAGACTCGGGTCCTGACAGGTCTGTGTAAAACTAGCTGAAAATGAGCCCGACACTGAGGTGAAAGTGTCTCCCCACTTAACAGCCGCAGCGGCGGGGTGCTTCCCGCGCAGGTTTCTGACTCTTTGCAGCACAAGCCATGGAAGCGGCAGCTGATCCACGCCGGGAACCAGTCTGCCGGGCTCGGAGGTTTGCCGCGCGCTGCCACCGCTCCTTGCCAGCCGCCCGCAAGGCGAAGCCGATGTGCCCACCCACACGAGAGCTGCCCGTGCAAGGGGCCCCCTGTGAGACCGGGAGCGAGCCCCGCGGAGGCTGGGGCAGCCCTCTCCCCCCACCGCCTCCCTCTTCCCCCGGCTGGGGAAGGCAGACGCGTGTCCTGCCTTGTCACCGCCGGCAGGGAGGGAAGCGCCGCTTCGCCCTTCCCCCAGCG